AGTGGGTGGGGGAGGGGAGCTATTAGTGCGTCATAGGTGGAGGGGCTGCGAAAGGGGTTTTTGGCCACAATTCACTCCACTCTTTCACCAATGACGTTGGCAGTAACCGCCCGCCCCCAGGCATCGTGTCTACTGCTTTGAAATAGCTCATGCGGTGCTAGAGAACAAGTGCTCTAGATCTTGGCTTTCATTTCTGAGCCTACAGGACTCCACTTCCAAAAATACCTTCGCAGGCTTCTGCCCCTCCCTGTGCCAAGTATATGTCTCGTTTGAAAAGCCGCGTCCGATTTCCGAATATTTTGAACCGGATTTTTTGAACGAATATTGTTTAGGACTGCGACAACGACAACTGGATCATCCGTGCGTATTTCGAACCCAAGAAAAACGGATGCAAACGTATATGGTGGGGCGGTTGCGTGACCGACAACAAGAATCTCTGGAGCAGTATGGCAGTAAGTTGTTGACCAAATATGAAAAATGTCTGTGCAAAGAATGTTCTAGAAGGGGTAGGATGATAATTGGGACATGCAAATTCAGCTGAAAAACCAAGCCTAGATGCTTAGCTGTATGGCAGTGACAAAAGACAACAGTGCTGAGAGACGGCAGGCACCAGATACAGCTGGTATCGTCGCAATCAGTCGAGCAATGTCAGGAGACATGGAATGAGCTCACACGCGATGATTTCTACCCTTGGTTGTTTTCCTCCTAAATCGGTTGCTACTCGCTCACCATCGGCATGAAGGCAGTCGGGAGAGGCTCACTTCGCCTCTACTGACACCGCCCCGACGGATTGCGACGAAAACAGCTGTAAAAAAGATGATGCCTGCGACCGCTCGCAAACGCTCAAGTGCTGGGCGAAGTCGAGCCAATGTAGGGAAACCATTGGAACTTTAGCTCTATGTGTTGAATCAGGTTTTTCATTCAGGAATGTCAACGGGCTTGTGCTCACAAGATTGAACCGCTGTCGGTCCCTCCAGAGCCGCAGAATCGAGCTTCTGAAGTTACAACGTCAACTAAGGGAACCACTGCCTATCCGATGTCTAGTATGTCTCT